ATTCTGACAATCCAAAACTATAAGTGATTTCATAGCCACTTATAATCTGACTCAAATCTCATGGGCTTCTTTTATTAACCTAGATTACTTTTGTCTTGTTAAGTATACCTCTGTAGGGCACAATCACATACAATCAATAAGATTGGCAAATTACTCAAGCTCTATCCTAAGCAAATATGCATTAATGTTAAAAAAAAAAGTTATTTTAAAAAAACAAAATAAAATCCACCCAAATAGGTGATGACTACAGAATGTCTCGGGGAGACTGATATGAGCCTAAAGACCAATTAACCATAGTCAGGGAAAAATGGTAACAGGGGCTAACAAGAGGAAGAAAGTACGCACACGAAGAGGAATCTCACAACTGGAAAATGTTTAAGTGAGTGAAAGGTTTTGTTTATTACCTTAATTCACTGTTTCCATTGTTCATGGAAAGTCAGACTCATCATAAAGCTCAAAACATCACAGATTCATCATAAAGTAAGATGAAAGCCATGAGCAATGAATAAAATGATAACAATTTTATTCTTCAAGTTCCTTTCATTCCTAGAAGGTGCGAAGAATGGATGAAAATGGGGATATATATGAGATTTTATGCAAAAATACCTCTCAGGACAGTGATTAAAAGCAAATGCTTCAAAGGCCTTTTAAGTCACAGGAATTTTTTATGAGGTTCACATATTATTGTGAGAATGTTAGCCAATCAGTGGAGAGAGTTACATAAATAAATGGTGATTTTAAAAAAATCAGGAAAAAAAACCCAAAATAAAACAAAAAAACCAATTATCAACCCAATATTTGTTTCCATCCTTTTCTTGACCCTTTCATACACTCATGGGGTAAGGGACCACCTGACAGTTTCCAGTTATAAGATGACTGAGTGTACAACCTAACATGGATGCCAAAGACTTGTGAGATCTGTCTGCTTAAGAGTTAAAAAACAAAACAAAAAACAACACAAAACCAAATAGAAACAGTGAGACCTCAAAAAAAGGAAATAAATCACCTTATTTAGTATATAATATATATTAGAATAACAAAGTCCACAGGATTTTATTTTTCTAAATACACATTTTTGGACACAATATTGTCTCGAGGTTTGAGCTCTCCACCGTGGGTTATTGTGCCTTATTTTCTTGTGTAAATAATGGTTACTTTAGGGATGTTTTGCTCAGGGGCAAGATTAGGGGAATTCAGTGTTTGGCTGAAAATCCAGAGGCTCTGAAAACAAGGATTCCAGTGGTGAGAAAAGTCCCTTCATCACAAGATTTCAAGGGGCTCTTTACCTATTTTGTTCAGTGCAGCATGGAAAACCCACCTATCAGGAACATATGTATTATTAAAAGGTGTTATCTGTTCCTGATGTTGACAGTTTTTAAATTCTTTGTTAACATTATAGCTAGTATCACTCATCAATTAGAATTATTTATGAAAACACCTTTCACAATCATGGAAATAAAATCTTAAAATTCCAAATATTAAATTATTTACTATAATAGTACCTTTTGACAAAAAACAGGAGTTGTTGTTTTTTTTTTTTTTTTGAACTGGCTCAGAGAAGCTGAATTGAGAACTTTAAAATTTCATAAAGGTGAGAGTTGAAGCAACAAATAAATATAAAAATAATAGCTGTCCAAGGTAGAAAGATATAGATGTGGATCAGCAAAATGGACATGCAGGTAAAATGACAGTAGTAGAATGCTTGCTGGTTTGTTGACTGCCTAAGGCTGATAGTAAAATTTGTTAATTGTCCAGGGAAAAGATTACCTTTCAACTCTGTAACCACATATCACCAATTAAAATTTCAATATATGTGAACTCTTTTTAGGATAAAAATATTAGTAAACACTACAGTTAATTTCCAGACAGGTTATTAATTTCTCCTAAAAAGGAACTGAAAATTTTATTTTAATTTATCATTATAGGTGGTTTTTGCAGATAGATTTTATATATGAAATCTTTACTCAATTCTTTACAACAAAAAGTAGAAAAAAATGGTGAGACTTCCAACCATCGTAACAGCAACTTTTAGTGAAAACAATCTTGTTTTTCTCTAAATCTGAACATAATCTGAACTTGTACTAACTATAGTTAATTATTTCTCACCGCTCACATGCTCAAGAAGAGAACCCAGTCCCATGACTTAGCCATAGTGAGAATATACTGTCCTTTAGGCACAAGTGAAAAAGACAGAAAATGCTCTTTTAACAAGATAATCTCAAAATATTGTGTGTATGTGCAGGGGGCGGGGGAGGGACGGTGCTTACACACAGCACTGTAAAAGATGATATTCACTAGTTTAGAGAAACTGATGAATTTTCATTACTTTTACATTTTATAAGGCCAGCTAACTTTAACAGTTAACTTTAGACAAATCTACACAGTACAATCACCTCACAAATACAAAGTTTCATAATCAAAATGGCTACTACTTCCCCCCAAAACCAAAGCAGAGAAAAGCACAAGTCTTTGGCTCTCCTTTAAAGAAAACAGCAGGTTACCGTTCTTTACCAGACCTTTGTTTGCCTACCAGTAGGGCAAATACCACATTTGTGCATCACTGAGTAATGACACCATTAGAAAAGGCAACTTCACAGAAGTTATTGGCGAAGCAAATTCATTTGAATGCTCTGTTTTGAGGCAGCAAACTGTCACTGTTACAGATTGGGTTAAGTCACGGGGAAATTGCAGAATGGAAAAGGGTCAGGAGATTAAGAAAAAAAAAAGACAATCATGGGAAAACTTAGGGATTAAAATTTTAAGCTCTAACACTAAAGACCAATGGAAAGTTTGATGGAATTATACACTCAACATAGCAAATGAGAGTCAGACCAATTTTGTCTTTTAGGCAAAAGAATAAATACATGGGAAAGAATAGAAGGATAGGAAGTAAGATGAGAGAAGAGAATCAACCACATTAGTGCTATGCAAAACAAAATTTTATACATTCCAAGTAGTTGGATATTTGTAATTGAAATTAAGAATAGTGTCATATCATTTGAATGTTATTACTAGAAACCTATGCTATAACTTCCTTTTAGTTAGGAAAGTTGTAAGAACTAGCTCTTTGGTCACTTCAGGTTCTATAAACTATCCAAGACCAGGGTGGCTATTATACTTATCTTGGGACAATATCTATAAATTAGGCAAAAGAACTACCTGTAAGACAAGAAACTGAGTCTAGATGTCTTATTCTCAGTTGTTCAACCTTTTTCCAGAGACCCCTTGAAAAAAGAAAGCAAAATACTTTTATATTCATCACTATAATAAAATCCTGGCTTTGTTACTTAAATAAGCATGAACACATTGCTCGTTATTCTGATCTTAACCATTTCAGAACTATTCATGTTCATCTGATATGTAGAAGTCTTACTTTTGCGTATCTAGCAAATCTCCATTTCACCTTTTTTTTTTTGGGGGGGGGTGTGGGCGCACATTAGGGACTGAACTCAGGGCCTCTTCATGCTAGGCAAGCACTCTACCACTAATCTACACTCCTAGCCCAACAAGTCTTACTTTTGAATTCAGTGAAAAGCAAATAAAGTTGTCTTCAGAAGAAATTAATATTTAAATAAGAAAGCACAAAAGTTGTTGGGTATAGTGGTGCACTTCTATAATCCCAGCACTCAGGAAGCTGAGGCAGGAGTGTGAGTTCGAGGCCAGCTTGGGTAATACAGTGAGATCCTGACTCAAAAAAGCACAAAAATTGTATTTTTATCTGATTGGTTTCATTTCTTAACATATGCAGATGCACAAATAAAATTTAAAAGTATGTGTGTGGGGAAATCAATGCTTTTCAGATTTTGATTAAAAAAAAAAAGAAAAAGGAGTTACAGAGTCAAGTCGTTATGTCCCAATAGGCCATTTACCTTTATTGGCTCCTTATAACACAAAATATGTCACAGAGAAAAGGAAACGGGTGTGTGGCAGGGGGAGGCCCAAACTCTGAAGGTTTTACTGAATTCCTAAACCTGCTGGTGGACACTAGGAAAGCCGTAAAAATTTCCCTTAGGTAAGGCAGAATGGCCAATGTAAAATAGCTAAATTACAGGCACAATGGGCTAGTACACTATTCTTCTGCCTTTCTGCCCAACCAGATTGCCTCTAGAGTACAAGGTCTTCAAGGGATACAACTAGAAATCAGGCTACAATTTAAAGATTTTTTCTTTTTTTGCCCAAAAATGAAAATATATCAATAAAGACACTAGTGCATTTGGAGAATGGATTTTGAGTTATTAGGGGTTTTAATACATACCCCAAATAGAATTTTACTTTTATTCTGAACTTCAACAAAACCAAAACCTTATTCTTTTCTAATACCAGAATGGTTCCAACTTTCAAAATAAACAACTGCATCTAAAACTTAAGAATTAGCTGACATGTCTAAAGGAGAAATAAAATCTCTCCAAATCTGCCTACAGAAGGCTAGCGGCCAATATTATTGCCTTTTATAACTATATGCAGAGAAATGAAAACTCTTTATGACTGTCAGACATAAGTTTCTTTCTTCTCCCAATAAACAATGAGTAGTTAAAGTGTAAATGTTAGAGGGTTTTTAAAAAAGCAATTGTATGAATGTATACTTAAAAAAAAAGGAAAATGTATGCATTAACTGAAAAAATGCCTCACCTTCATTCAGTGCTTCTACCTCCCAATCAGTCATTTTATCGCAACAGCTGCGCTCATGCGAAGAAATCCTTAAAACATACCCAATATATATACAGATATAGCTATGTATATATGTATATATATAATATATATATAAATTTTTATTTAAATAAAAAAGAAAGCTCGAATCCCAAGCCAATATGTGTATATCAAATCCTTGACCAGCCAGGTCTGTAGGGCATAATCAAATTCAATGTGAAATAGTATATAAACACGGTGCCTTGACTGGGCAAATTAAATAATCGCTACTCAAATGAGTGTTCTGTTTGGACTCTCCTACTGGTAGGCAATGGCAGGACTGTATTACCCCTCCCACCCCCCGCCCCCACTTGTTTCAGTTAACAATATGATGGACACAGAGCTTAGACTGAGGTTGTTCTAACCTCAACAAGAGTTAAGGGTTAAGAATATAAGAAACAAGAAAAATATAAACTTTTGCTTTTACCCAACCAAAGCAATGCAGTAACTTATTACATAACCAGTGCTTTCTGATTTAGTAGTATAATCCAGAAAGGGAAACTGAAAATCAGTCAAACGAGGGAAGGAGAGAATGATTATATGAAACAATCCCAACTAAACATGTTTTATAGGGGCTTAGTTAAGTATAGAGTTGTTGCATCAGAATATGTGCAGCAGAACTAAATAACAACAAAAATTCCTCCTTACTCTTCAATACTTTCAGGAAGAATGTTTTAATGCTGGAAAGCCAAGTCTATGAAAACTGACTTCAGGGTATTCATAGTCAGTAATTTTGAGAAGCAACAAGTGATCAATTCATAAACTATCCTTAAGACTCAGGTAGTTTGTATTTTAGTTTTAAAACATGGTTGACTGTCCTGGCCTGGGGGCATTCCAGGATTTCAGCAAAAGTTTCATTTGGAAAGTACAGTTCCAAATTTCCAACAATGGAGAATACATCAAATACTGTGTATTTTCAGTGCTACTAAGTTACAGTTCATTCTTAAAGTAATCTTTAGGTAAATCTAATCAAATAATGTAAACACTGAACAGGCTTTCTGATTACATTAAGAGAACACAAGGGATCCTTAATAACATAGAAATTGGGGAACTAAAACTTAATTGTCTGTTATCTTTCTCTGAAAAATTGAAACTAAGCATTCCCCTTCAAAGTTTCAATGTCCTAAGAAAACATAGCTATTCATAAAGCTAGTAACCCAGAAAGAAAAAATATTACAAGTAACAGCTCCAATAAAATTTAGTCTGCTGCACATTTTCTAATAACTCAATCTATTACTGTCTCTGTTTCTCAAGCACCACAGAATTCTTAGAAATGCCAGTGCTTTTTGTCTGTTGTAGTTTATGGGGTTGTGAGAGTTGGAAAGGACTAGGGGTAAGGAATTATACACTGGGTATGTAATAATACCAAAATACAAGAAAAACCTATTTCATTAAGATCATACAATTAATCAAACAGAGTGTATATATAATATCTTCTTTTTTTAAAGCCCTGCATCCAAGGCGTCCAAAGTTATTAAAATAAAGTTCATTCACAGAACAAAAACAAATTTAATCTGAATTGCTTGCAGATACTGCTAATTTCTTTTTCTTTAAATTAAAAAATGCATTAATGTGAACTATGTGCAGGGTTTGTTTAGTAGTGGTATTTGTGCACATTGCCTCTGGTGCTTTTTCTGCATTTCTTTGACCACTCTTAGCAAAAATGTTTAGAAGTTATCCATTCTTCTACTCCTATCCCCCACAAATTGATTAGGAGCAGAAGATAGAAGCAGTACTCCGAACATTTTAGGGAGCAGAACTGGGAGTAACTCCTGATCTCTGAGAGTCATTGTTATCCCCTCCTCCCTCAGGGTCTTCTGACAGATTCAAAGAGTTGGTCTTGTTTGATAAGAGGCTGATATTCTCTTGTGTCAAAGCTGATCCATTTGGTACATCACTGTTAAAAAAAAAAAAATGCAGTTGGAATTTTTTACAAAAGAAAACATTTCATAAAATAAAATCAATAGGGCCTATCATTTAACAATATATATTAATATATATTGCTATACATTAATAGCTTCCAAATTTTAACTTATAGCTCCTCATCCATATATTATTACATGGTTGGCAAACTAAAACTAGCCAACTGCCTGTTCTTATAAATAAAATTTTATTGGAACACAGCCTGCCCTTTTATGTATGTATGCTTTCATACTACAAGGCAGAGTTAATTAAGACTTGCAACAAAGTCAGTAAGGCCCATTCCTTAAAATATTTATTACCTGGCCTTTAACAAAAACTTTTGACACCTGATTTGGCAGGCTTATTAGTATAGGAAACTAGAAGGACAACTAAGAACCATGCATTTAAAAACCTCAAAATTGCCTAAGAAAATAATTAAGATGTATGAAGAATTAATTAAGTACTATTTATTATACGATTGTTCATGATAGTTGACATGTATCTTTTCAGACCTGCGATGGAGTATTGGATGATATGGGATAGAATGAATTAAAAACCAGGGGGCAGGGGCATAGGTGTGTAGGTTTATAAAAATAAGCAAGAGTCTAGGAAAGATGTTAATACTGGTTATCTCAGGTGTTGGAATTACAGGTGATTTTTTAATTTGTCTTTTTCTAAAAATTTCAATTATTTACAATGTTTTTTTATATATTGAAATAGGAGGGTTGGTGATAAAGGTATAGTTTAGTAGTAAAGCATGTGCTTACCATGTGTAAGGCCCTGGATTCAATCCCCAGCATCAAAACAAATGACAATAACAAAATGGGAGGGGGTAATTTTTTAAAATTAATTTTAAGGCTTCTTTTATATTGAGAAAATATTACTTTTATAATTGAAAAAACATAATAGTATATTTCAAAAATTTAAAAACAAAGAGAAGGAAAACAAACAAGAAAAAATTGTGAGGAATTAGCAGATAATTCAATCTGTGTGTGTGTGTGTGTGTGTGTGTGTGTACTTTTGAGGCATGTAGTCCAGGCTGGCCTTGAACTCTGAATCCTCCTGCCTCAGCCTTCCCACGATTACAGGGGTGCCCACCACCCAACCCATCCCTGGGCTACTGAGATGAGTTTTATAACTCTAGATTTAGCAGAAATATTCTTTTTACACAGAATAAAATTTTAAAACTCAAAACATTTATGTAGGGACTTTTGATATGGCCAGATAATATAATCATTTCTTTCATATGCAATTTAATAGCACTATAAAATGTCCCTTTCTTTACCTGAATGTTAATGTAAGGTCTTCAGTTGGAACCTTGTTTTGTGATTCTGGTTGTCCATTTTCTGCTTGCTTATTTGTATTCAACTTGCTTTTCATGTCAAGAGAACACTGGTTCTCCTTTGAAGAAGAAGGAAATAAAGTCAGTTGCTTTCTATTAAATGATGCTAATGGGACAGACAATATATATATATAACACAAATAAACTGATAGTTCAGAAATCATATTTTATAAAAAGACCAAAGAAATAGCAGACTAAAAGAGAGACATACACAAAAACATAAGAGTATAACCCACCTTCTCACTATATAAGCTGGACAATAATGAGAATGCCTCAAACTAACACAAAAAAAAAATCACAGAAAAAAATATGCTAACTGCACCTCACTCATAAAAACAGGTCACCAATAACTTTAAAGGGTATAAAAACTAGAATGGTATTTGATAAATACATTTCTTTTTTTTTTGGTGGGACTGGGACTTAACTTAGTGCTTCATACTTGCAAAGCAGATGCTCTACCACATAAGTCACACCTCCAGTCCATTTTGCTCTAGTTATTTTGGAGACAGAGGTCTCCCAAACTATGTCCCAGGCTGGCCTTGAACAGTGATCTTCCTGATCTCTGCCTCCCAAGTAGCTAGGATTATAGGAGTAAGCAACCAGTGCCTAGCTGGTAAATATATTTTTTTTTCTTTTTATTGGTGGGACTGGGGCTTAACTAAGGGCTTCCAGCTTACAAAGCTGGTGCTCTACCACTTGAGTCACATTTCCAGTCTGGTAAATATATCTTTATATAACATGATGATACTTCAAAGGAGTTATCATCCTATTTGCTTCCCTAATCAGTAGACTAAACAAAAATCTAAGAATTTGCAATTAACTAGGTTGTTTTCCCTAAGAGTCATCAAAGCATCCTAAAACAAAGAACATACCCAAACCAAATAGAAATGAGAAAAGGAATGATACAATGGGAAGGCAGCTCATCTTCATGAAAATTATTCTACATATCAATCACTCATCATAATGTTTTGGATGAGCTCCAGATGATTCTAGAATTCTAGAGCCACACAAATTTCATTTCACCTTCCCTTTCTTTTCCCAACATAATGCTTACCATACTTAGTTCCCGGGTTCTCTTCCCAATTTCCCTTTCCACCTGGTGTAGTTCCAAGCTCAACTGTTCACTTGAGATCATCCCAGGCCATTTTGGAGGTGGAAGTGGGGGCTGTGACTGGCCTGCCAAGGTGTTCGCCTCCCTCTGTAACACCAGCTTGTTACTAACAGCCTAGTGCATAAAGCCAAGCACACACACAACTCAACACATTTCACACCACACATAGGAATAACCAGGTCCAATTTTAGACCACAGCTACTTAAGCTTATCATCCAAGTATTTCCAATAAAAATAATATGTAAACTTTTTTTTGGTGGTACTGGGGTTTGAATTCAGGGCTTCATGCTTATGAGGCTCTACCACTTGAGCCACACCTCTGCCCCTCTCTTTTTTTGAGTACCATTTGAATTTAAAAAAAGAAAAACAAAGGGAATTTAATTTTGGTGAATAATATATCATTTTCAATTAATTTCAAGTAACCTTAATGATGGCAAAGACTTTTAACTATAATAAGTATGTGGCAACCTTCGAATAATAACTAATTTTATTCACTTTTTGTGGTGCTGGGGGATCAACTAAGTTACAACTCCTCTACATTCTTTTGAGAAAGAAAATGGGTTAGAAACTTCAAGTAATTCAAGCCAGCAGGGATGCTGCATGCCTGTAATACAAGCACTCAGGAGGCTGAGGTAGGAGGTCTGTGAGTTCAAGGCCAGCCTGGGTTATATAGTGAGATCCTGCTTCAACAGCTCTCTTCTCTTCCCCACCCCACGCACCCCCGCATAAAAGGAGAAAAACAACAAACAAACAAAAACTCCAACTAAGACAAAAAGCTGTCTTTGAAGCTGAGTAATGCACCTTGTGGGAGTGAAGATCTGAACATTAAAAATGTCACTGTACTAAAGAAAGACCACCATAAGCAAATGTAGTTTTGCTCATTTTTTGAGACAGAGTCTCACTAGGTAACCCAGGATGGCCTTGAGCTTACCATCTCCCTGCCTCAGCCTCCTGGGTGCTGGGATTATAGGTGTTCCCCACACCTCATTAAGAAGCATTTTGTCTCATACCTTTCAATCAAAAAAAAGGACAAGGCTGGAGGTAACAGCTTACCTAGCAGGCACAGGGTATCCTGTGTTTGATCTCCAACACCATTAAAAAAACAAAACAAAAAACAAAAGGCAGGTAGGGTACAGGATAATACCACCTGACTAATATACCAATTAGTGACATTGTAAGGGACTAGAAAGGTAATGTAATAAGCAGTTTATAAACTGTGAAGAACTATATAAATGAAAGGTGTTCTTTTTTCTTCAGTGCTGGCATTGAATGTAGGTTATTACATATCAGGCATTGAGCTACATTTGAAACTCCAAATGTGTTATTCTTATTACATTGGGCTATTTTTTGTGTGTGTGTGACAGTTTTGAGCTTCTACTTTTCAAAGACTTATAAAAGCTGAGAATTACAGGAAATAAAAGAAACCAAAATTTCTAAAGGTAAAATCATTTGTTGATAAGAACTACTAACCTTAAACTTTAATGTATTGGGAAATTTTAGATAATCTGTTTTCAATTCTCAGACAGTATTACTTACTACTGTCACCTATCATCACAGAAATGAACCCAATACTGAATTTGTTGAAGAACAGACAACTATATCACTCTTTGGCTTTATAGTTTTATGTTCATAGTACCTCAAAAATTCCTCTGTTTAAGGGGCTAGAGATGTAGTTCAGTGGTAAGAGTACTTGCCTAGCATGTACAATGTCCTGGATTCAATTCCCAGCACCACGAGATAAACAATTAATTAATTTAAAAAGTTCTCTTCTATTTAAAATCTCTCAGACTTCTTCAAAACATGGAATAAAATCTAGGTGTAATGGTCCTCACACCTGTAATCCTGGCACTTGACAGGCAGAGGCAGGAGGGCTGAGAGTACAAGGTTAACAATACCCCATTCTCAAGAGACAAAACCAAAACAAACAAACAAAAAAACCCCAAATCACAAACAAAAACCACCAAAACTTGGAATGAAAAAAGCATCTGTAGGTTGATACCTCTAGTCCACGAAGTTGGGTCTGCTGGCTAATCTGATGATTCAGTTGCTGCAATTCTAGCCTCAGCTGTTCTCTCTCAGCAGATGGAAGGGGTTTCCCATGAGTGGCCACTTCTGACATGGACATCCTCTCCCTTTAGTAGGAAAGAAAAAGCATGAAGTTAATTATTTATTTACTGTTGTGCTGGGTGAGGGTACATTGTGGCATTTACAAAAGTTCTTACAATATATCAATTATGTCATACTTGAATTCACCCCCCTCTATCATTCTTCTTTATCCCCTTTTCCCCCATTCCTGGAGTAATTTCAATTGGTATCATTTTTCCATTTACATACATGTGTACACAGTATTTGCACCACATTTACCCTCTCATACTCTTTCCCCACCTCCTGTTCTTTGATTTCATAGAAGAAAAAAAATGACATTTTTGTTTAAAATAACTACATAGGGAGTTTCCTGGTGACATTTCCAAATATATATTATATTCCAAGTATATATGTATTATAACCCAAACTGGTTCATTTTCTCTATTTTTCTTCTTTCTCAGTCCCCTTCTTAAGGTGGCTTCAATAGTTTTAAAATTCTATATTTACTTGTGTTTAGAGAGTATTAAGATTATCTTTTTTTTTCCATTTGTTTTTGGTGAAACCGGCATTTGAACTCAGGGTTTCATGCTTGCTAGACAGGCACTCTTAACATGTGAACCACTTCACCAATCCTAATTTTAAAGATTTATTTTATGAAACTGAAAACAAAGTATGAAAAA